TAGATAGATAGATAGATAGATAGATAGATAGATAGATAGATAGATAGATAGATAGATAGATAGATAGATAGATAGATAGATAGATAGATAGATAGATAGATAGATAGATAGATAGATAGATAGATAGATAGATAGATAGATAGATAGATAGATAGATAGATAGATAGATAGATAGATAGATAGATAGATAGATAGATAGATAGATAGATAGATAGATAGATAAAGTGCTACACTGATGCTTTCTTTCTGTAAGGATTTTACTTTCCTATTAAGGAGAATAACATCTGTAGTTTCAAGGAATCATCTCAGACTGTTTGTCATGTTCTCTTACTCAATCAAGGATTTGGGGCCCACTGACGTCATCTTGACAGGGACCTGCTACTGTAGGACAGCGCTGCTCTCGTGTGGGAGGACATGATTGGTCTGGAAAAGTGTCAGGACGTATTGCGAGCCCTTTCTTTGTCTGATTCATAGAAAACTACCTCATAACGTGTTTAAACAGTGACAATATCACCTGAGCAAAGTAAGAACGACACAAAGAGTTGGTGCTTTGAAGATTATTTGAAGCACATGGATGGTTTGGAAAATACATTGACGTGTACATGTCTCATTCTGTTAAAGTTTAGTCATTTTCCAACTCAGCCAGAGGAGCCAAACTCATGCTAACTGTGTTGTAAACAAACCACGCTGGCTCGTGTCAAGAGCTTTTCTAAGTGCTTAAATAAACAGAGGTCTTAGAGCAGGCAGATGCTCTTACTCTGAGTTTAAAACATAAACTTTTAAATGATGTCCCAATCTTGATTTTTTTTTAGGCAAAGTTTCAAAAACAAATCTTGTGTAGTCAGGTAGCCCCTGAAATATTTATTGGGGCGAACTCTCAGCTGCTACCACAACAAATTTGAGCTCTATATCTGTAAAATCACCCACGTTCAACCATTTTTATTCATTTAAATTTGTAAAAAAAATTTAAAAAGCGGATAAACTCTGAATAACTAACCTACAAACAACAAAGAGCTACCGCAACTGTATAAAAATGCTCAACTGTTTCACCTGATGTATCAACTATATGTCCTTGTTGTTTCTAAAATCAACGGGTGGAACAAAATAAACTGGTTTTCTTTACATGATGACGATGATTTCAATAACTTTACCATACTTGTGGTGTGTAATCTGTAATTAAATGTAAAAGAATGGAAGTATCAGATGGTATTGTTTGATTTTTAGCATTTTAAAAATACTCCCACACCTCAGATGTGTTGGCTCGGTATAACACAAAGATGGCAGCCGTATTGAGGCACAGCTGACATAAACCATGGACGGTAGGTCAAGAACAGAGGAAAAACGCTTGTCCATTTTTTTGCTTTAAGCTTGTTGGTTGGTTACAAATTGAACTCTTTAAACATGATATGTTGACATTGGATTTGTTTAGTGTATTGATGCAGATATCTGGTTAAAAAAGTGCAAATTAAATAGACTCAGCAGCATGAGGTATCTTTATCTGGACTCGTCCAGATACGTGTAGTGATTAGGTCCATTTGAACTCCCTCCTACTGACTTTGTTCTAAAGCTCCAACAGAGGGAGGAAAACTCAAAGGATAAACACTTTCTATCTATGGGCTGTTTCCGTTTCATCTCTGTATGACAGGTATTTATTAGATCTTGGCAAGTCCTTTCCCACACTGTGAGCTCACAAGAATGCCGACGGAGAAAGAAAGAGAGATGTGTCCAGTCACACCTACCTATGATATCTCCAAAATTCTTCTCCATTAAACCACCACACCTTGATCCCATTTCACAGCCCTGAAGCCATTTTCCACTTGGATAACAGTCTGACCTGTGAAACTTCGCTTCTGCCCCGTCAACTCCTGCAGGCTTATGTTCCAGCGAGGTGAGCAGTGTGTGCTGTGAATCAGGCATGTCACAAAAACAGCAGCGGCGATTAAAACGAAAGCCTGCGTTCCTGCAGATGCTGGCATCCACAACGCCGCATGTTGCGTCTCATCACAAGCACAGCTCCGCGGCCTATTTTTAGCCAGACGGCCCCTCACTCTTTTAAGCACAAGTCATCCCAGCAGGCAGGCGCCTCCGTGTTCCCCTCATCTTTCCAGAAGGTTTTCATCTCAGTCCCGTTCACTCTCATTCCTCGGCTTTTTCTTTGCATTAGCATCAGCGTTTAGTGTGATTCATTTACCAAACACCGATCTTTACTTTAAAAAAGGACAAATGTGTTGAGGGATGAGCTGAAGCAAGTCTCTGTCAAGAACTCTCTCTTTAGTTTGTGATGAAAAAGAACAGCAGGAGAGAGACGAGGTCAAAGGATGCTCAGCTGTAAACTTTAACCCTTTACAGAACAGGATGTTGTGATTTCTAAGAAACTGAGGTAGAGGTGAAAAGATCTCCATGGTTTCTTGGAAACATATTTAAGGTACAAAATAATTTGCATTTGCACATGGGTTACCAGTGGTTATAACATTACTGTTTTTTTTTTGTTTCATCTTTCGGCTGCTCCCTTCTTTAGGGTCGCCACAGCGAACTAACTAGCACAGCTGTCTGTATGGTGTGGGGGGCTACCATCTAGGGTGCTGGAGATGATGAGGGTTGAGGGCCTTGCTCAGGGGCCCAGGATGGAGGCATGTGGGGGGGTTCACTTTTCCCACCCACATTTTGATGCTGTCGGTCTGGGGAGTTGAACCGACGACCTTCCAATCACAGGCCCACCTTTTCTAGCCTCTGTGCCACCACTCCCCCTTACGGTTATAATATTATTTAATATGTAAAAATACATCTTTAAAACATAGATGTGGCTCCAGGTAAATGTTTAAATGTTTAAGTGTTTTGTAGTCCCACCTAAAATACATTTTGCTCTTATTTAAGGAGGTTGTATGTATTTTTTTTTCTTCAGATAACAATTTGGCTTTTTTATTATTAATAATAATCATTTAATAAGTAGTAGTGTATTTTTTTTTTTTTTTTTGCTAAATCTTTCAAAATATAAATGTTTCAAATTTTGCACCACTCACATATGAGAAACAGAAAGATTGATGTTTTGATGTATGGTAATGCAGCAATAATTTACTGATAGTGAATGATTTTATGGCAAAATGTTTTTTTAGAGCAGAACTCAACTTGAAAATAATAAATTAACTTATAAAGTACATAAATTAGGGGATGATGACAGCAGCATTAGCAAAGTTTTTGTCAGTATTTCTTCTAAATTGTTTACATTAAAAATGATGTAAATGAACAAGCCTTCAAATTTTTTACACACTTTTATTTTATTTTATTGATTTTAAGTAATAGCAAGCCCCAAAGGCAATATTAATTTCCCCTTTTTCTGTCCTGGACCAGAACAGTTTGTTCTTTACTCAGTGAGCCCCCTAGTGGTCAGAATAATAATAACACTCTTTTAGGAGGAACTTTTACTGTTTGACACGAGAATAAACTGAAACTAAAACTTGTAGGGGAAGAAAGGAAGCTTAAAAAAAAGGATTATGGATTTGTCTGAGTCTGCACTTTAAATCTACAAGATATATATATATATATTATCTATATGATCTAGATCATAAAATAAAATAAATATTAGACATGTCCCGACCGTGATTTTGAGCCCAAGTATAAAATAATTGGAACAATTAGACCCATAAGGTCTGTTTGACCGGAAACGATCCTGGTTTTGGTGCGCAGATGAAATATTTGTCTGGTGATGGAAATTCAACTCCGGAATGCATATTTCTGTCTCCCCTCTGAGCGTCTCGGATCATTCCTCTGATCGTGAGGTAAGAAGTCCGTCCCTTCCTCCTGCTGCTTTCTGATTGGTCCAAACAGGAGCTCAGGAATGTCCTCTAAAGACATAAAAAGCACCTAAGAGAGAAGCAAAAGTCAGTTGAATAACTGGAGGAATAACGAAGGACTTTGCAACTTTTGAAAACTAAAGGAGGAGGATTTATATTAAGTGAAGCAGGAGTTCTTTTTTCTTCACCTTCTTCTTTTTTACTATTTTGAAGTCATTTTTTCATTCAAAGGTTGGCAGAAATCTTTATTATTGCGCTTTAATGTCCATAATTTGCTTGCTTGTGATCATTAATGTTCATATTTTGGGCTTTTTTATTAGTAGTTTTTAGATTTCAAGATGATGCTGTGCAGCATCGTTTGCCTGTTGCTGCTTTGGAGCTGCGAGGGCGCGAGACTGGCAGGTGAGAGTGGTCGCTTATTATCACTCCCCCACCCCCTTTTTTTATTTTATTTTACAAATAAAAAATGTCAATTTGTTTTAGGCTATATTTTATGGCAGGTCTGTCTTTATTCATCTGACCTGAGTTTTCCCTTTTTCCTGTCAGAGAGCCGTGATGACAACAGTGTGTATGATTTATTTGAGCTGGTTCGGGTCAATAAGAGGCACAACGGAGTGAGTCTGGTAAAAGGCGCAGACCCCTACAGCCCTGCGTACAAGGTCCTGAATGCAGACCTGATCCCCCCGCTCCCCGACAGCTCCTTCAGGGACCTCCTCGACTCCATCCAGGCTGAGCGGGGCTTCCTCCTCCTCATCAACCTGAAGCAGTTCAAGAAAACCAGGGGCAGCCTCCTGACCATCGAGAAGACCGACGGATCCGGACCTATTTTCGAGATCATCTCCAACGGGAAGGCGAACACCCTGGATTTGGTGTACTCCACCGAGAACCAGCTGCAGGTGGTCTCCATCGACGATGCAGATCTGGCCAATGGACACTGGAAGAACCTGACGCTGTTCGTCCAGGAGGACAGGGCTCAGCTTTTTGTTGGCTGTGAGGAGATCAATGTGTCAGAGTTGGATGTGCCCATCCAGACCCTGCTGGCCCGGGAGCTGGCAGACAAAGCCAGACTCCGGATTGGAAAGGGGGCTGCAAAGGACAAGTTCATGGTAAGAAACATATACAATATGCACGTTGTTCAAATCTCATTAAGGCTTAAACATTTCTAATTGTTTTCTTCTTCATTTTGAAGGGAGTGCTTCAAAATGTTCACTTTGTGTTTGGCACCACTCTGGAAGCCATTCTAAGAAATAAGGGATGTCAAAGTGGAGGTAAGTCTTAAAAAACACTACCTCCAGATTAAGTGTGTCACAGTAATTAGAAATCAATTTATCTTCTCTCCCCTTTTAGCAGCCCTCACTGATATCATGACCCTGGACAACCCGGTTAATGGTTCCAGCCCTGCCATAAGGACCGATTACACTGGTCACAAATCTAAAGGTGAGACATCTCTTCCTTTAAGAGTCATATCTGGGTCTTTGCCCCACAGCTTCAGGAGCTGAGATAATTTATTGTTCTCCTCTCGTCCAGCTCTGGACTCCGTCTGTGGCTTCACGTGTGAGGACATCTCCACCATGTTTAAGGAGCTCAGAGGACTCACTGTGATCGTGAAGCAGCTGTCATATGAACTCCAAAAAGTGGTAAGCTCTAATGACCATCATTCACTCCCTTTCTTCCTTCGTGTATCTCTCCTGCTGCATAATGCATTTTTATGTGTACCCACTTGTTGCTGTAATATCTGTCTCTAAGCCATATCATTAATGAGAGGCATGTGAATGCACAGATGTGTTTGGCTGTTGGCCACATTTGCAGCGCTTTCCTAGATTCCAGCAGTGTTTTAATCACAGTGCCCTCCATGATTCATCTGTACTGGAACGTTGGCAAAGTAAAAGTTTTCCATACTCTGTCCTAAGCAACCCCTTCTCACTCTCACACTCTCTTTTTCCCTCAGTCTACAGATAGCCAGCTTCTGAAAAATCTAATGGACATCCACAGTGGCGTCTGCATCTATAATGGCATTATGCACAAGGACCAAGATGAATGGACAGTGGATGGCTGCACTGAGTGTACCTGCCAGGTAAGCATCAGCACACCCTCAGGAATGCAATGCTTCTTCTGAATTATATTAACCCCTTTTTAGAATTACTTTTTTCCAGTCTGAAAGCCACTACATCCTCTGAAATCAATAATGTAGCATTAGGTTTTATTACTTCTCACCTTTTCGTAAAAGTTATTCATGTACTGTAATATTAGTTCAGTTTTAGTGGGAGACCATCGTCTTTTTGTTTTTATTTTAAACACAGCAGTTGCGTCAAAGCTCCTTTTCCAAATGTAGCAATAAGTCTTGGAACAAGATCAGAAAACTCAAATGTTATTGTTGTTATTGTTGCTGTCAACCATCTAAAAGCTGTTCACTATTCCACCATGCAGAACTCTGCTACTGTGTGTCACAAAATCTCCTGCCCTCTCATCCCATGCGCTAACGCCACTGTGCCTGATGGAGAATGCTGCCCTCGCTGTGGAACACGTAAGTTTCTCCTCAAATCTGTTTAACCCAGTCAGAATTATTTCACTTAATAACTCAGATAACTCCTTATTTTACATCTGTCCCTTACAGCAAGTGACTATGCAGAGGATGGTTGGTCCGCCTGGTCTGACTGGACCCATTGTTCAGTGACTTGTGGCCGCGGCATCCAGCAGCGTGGACGTTCCTGTGACCGCATCAACAGCAAGTGTGATGGAACCTCTGTCCAGACTCGTGACTGCTATCTGCAGGAATGTGACAAACGCTGTAAGTTATTGAACTTCTTAACACTGCTCCAAATCCCTGCTCAAGAACGTTGTGAATTAAAATTATGTGCTTTGCTTACAGTCAAACAGGATGGAGCCTGGAGCCACTGGTCGCCTTGGTCTTCCTGCTCTGTGACTTGTGGTGAAGGGGTCATGACACAAATACGCCTCTGCAACTCTCCCACACCACAGCTGGGTGGTAGGGACTGCCAGGGAGAGGGACGCCACACCAAAGTCTGCGAAATGTCACCCTGTCCTGGTGAGTTTAGCATTTCAACCAAGGGATTTGGTGCAAACTTTCTGTATTGAGTCAAATAATAATAATTGTTTATTATGTTTCAGTCAACGGGGGTTGGGGACCTTGGTCGCCATGGGATACTTGCTCTGTTACATGTGGTGGAGGAATCCAAACCAGAAAACATATCTGCAATGACCCTGCACCCAAGTATGGTGGAAAGGATTGCGTTGGTGATGCTGCAATGGTTCGAGTTTGCAACAAACAGGACTGCCCTATTGGTATGTGTCTAAACTTTGAAAACAATCAGGAAAAACTGCACAGTTCTCCAGTGATCAAGTTTTTAAGGTAAAATATGTTTATGTCCTCAGATGGCTGCCTTTCAAACCCGTGCTTCCCTGGTGCAAAATGCACCAGCTTTCCCGATGGCTCCTTTGTGTGTGGCAAGTGTCCAATTGGCTACACTGGTGATGGGATCACATGCAAGGATATTGATGAGTGCAAAGAAGTTCCAGATGCTTGCTATACTCTTAACGGAGTTCATCGCTGTGTCAACACTGAGCCAGGTTACAACTGTCTCCCCTGTCCTGCACGTTTCTCTGGTCCTCAACCCTTCGGAAGAGGAGTGGAACAGGCAACTGCTAAAAAACAGGTTTGGATTGTTATTTGTTTGCTGTGGTTTTGGTTAGCATATACACAGATTGCATTTTTTAACTCTGTAATTTGCTTTAGGTTTGCACTCCCCGTAATCCTTGCAAGGATGGTAGCCACAACTGCCATAAAAATGCAAATTGCATTTACTTGGGCGTTTTCTCGGAGTCCATGTTCCGCTGTGAGTGCAGGCCTGGGTATGCTGGGAATGGCCGGATTTGTGGAGAGGACACTGACCTGGATGGATGGCCCAACACAGACCTAATCTGTGTGGAGAACGCCACCTATCACTGCAAAAAGGTAACCCAACCCCACAGGACAAAAACCATTGTAAGCCGTGTACACCCTCTCATTTTGATGATTGCCTTCTTAACCTCCCTTTTGTTCCTTTATAGGATAACTGTCCCAACCTTCCAAACTCTGGGCAAGAAGATCATGACAAAGATGGCCTTGGTGATGAATGTGACCATGATGATGACAATGATGGTATCCCCGATGATAGGGTGAGTAATCTTGAATGTTTTTTTAGCCCCAAACCAAGCTTTCCTCAGAGACCACACATAGCAATCAGCTGTAGCCATCCTTCCTCTGGGCAATAGGAATGCAGTGCTCAGGTTTTTTGCTTTCACCAGAGTCACAGTGGAAAGTCAGTAGCAAAGGAATAATGTACTATAATTTTCACATAAAGCCAGAACCGTAGATTAGGTGGCTGTTTGCCCATAATTCTTAGTGTGGATTTGGAAAGTTGGGCAACAAAAATGCATGTGGTAAAAATCACTAGTGGAATATAACATTTCAGCCCAAGTAAAAAAAAAAAAAATGTGGAAAATCAGTTTGTTTTGCAAAAGCAAATTTTTTTCTGTTGTGACCCATTTTAGTCATGAAGTTCATATTTTTCTATAAAATTAGGACAACTGCCCGAGAGTGTACAACCCTGGGCAGTATGACGCAGACAGGGATGATGTTGGTGACAGCTGTGACAACTGCATTTTTGAAGCCAACACTGACCAAGCAGACACAGACAACAACGGAGAAGGAGATGCCTGTGCTGTTGATATTGATGGTGATGGTAAGTAATAATTCCGAATAAAATCACATTGGTATATTTCGGAAGTCTTGGAAATCATTGTTAAAGCCAGTGTTTGCACATAATAGGCATTCTGAATGAGAACGACAACTGCCCGTATGTTTACAACGTGGACCAGAGAGATACAGACAGGGATAAAGTGGGAGATCATTGTGACAACTGTCCCCTGGAGCATAACCCAGATCAGGTAAAGTTAAAGTTATCTTCGATCTTTACACCACAGCTTTCCTGATTGACACATCTTATGTTGACATAAAAGATGCAGATGTACAAATGTATTTTATTAAATTATAGGAATGTGATAGCTGTGATGGAGAAATTCAATGAGTTTGCTTTTATTCTCACCCGTCCTCAATAAATTATGAATGAATAATTTGCTGAGATGCAAGAACACCACACGCCTGTCTGTGGAAACATTGTTAGGATATATGAAGACAAGGGACAAGGGTTACATCTTTCATATGGACACTATTGAAAAACAAAGAGGGGCTGTTTGAATAGAGGATAAATGTCTCACGGTATGAGGAGCTGGTGTTTGTGTAATCTCCTCATCTCTGAATTCTGTTATTCCACAGGTTGACTCTGACTCAGATCGCATAGGAGACAAGTGTGACAACAACCAGGACATTGATGAGGATGGTCACCAGAACAACTTGGACAATTGCCCCTACATTCCTAACGCCAACCAGGCAGACCACGACAAGGATGGCAAGGGAGATGCTTGTGATCATGATGATGACAATGACGGCATTCCTGATGACAAAGACAACTGCCGATTGGCATTTAACCCTGATCAAGTGGACTCTGATGGTGAGCTCTACAAACATTAATGGCGTGTGTTAATTTAAGGTTACCTGTACTTATTTTTAATATTCATCCTTCTAATTCTGTATCAATTTTTTTCTTTCAGGTGATGGCCGTGGAGATGTGTGCAAAGATGATTTTGACCAAGACAATGTTCTGGACATTAACGATGTGTGCCCCGAGAATTTTGACATAAGCGAAACTGACTTCCGACGATTCCAGATGGTTCCTTTGGATCCCAAGGGTACTTCACAGATTGACCCCAACTGGGTGGTTAGGCATCAAGGCAAAGAGTTGGTGCAGACTGTCAACTGTGACCCTGGCATTGCTGTTGGTATGTAGACTGGAAAAACAGATGTTGTTGTAAGTGCATGGTGAAAAAGTGATTGAAAATCCTTACAGTGCTACTTTCAATTCAGGTTTCGATGAGTTCAGCGCTGTGGATTTCAGTGGGACCTTCTTCATCAACACTGACAGAGATGACGATTATGCTGGGTTTGTGTTTGGCTATCAGTCCAGCTCCCGCTTCTACACAGTCATGTGGAAACAGATCACACAGACCTACTGGTCGAACACACCTACAAGAGCTCAAGGCTACTCTGGCTTGTCAATCAAAGTGGTCAATTCTACAACAGGGCCTGGTGAACACTTGAGGAATGCTCTGTGGCACACTGGAGACACCCCAGGACAGGTGAGAGCAGGTTCAAGTGACTTGAAATCACTTTCATATCAGGTTTGATTCAAATCGCATTTTAAATGTTGCCAATCCACACGTTCAGGTGCGCACTCTGTGGCACGACCCCAAGAACATTGGGTGGAAGGACTTCACGGCTTACAGATGGCATCTCATTCACAGACCCAAGACGGGACTTATTAGGTAAGCTCAAAATCACATTCAAGAGCAAATACACAGTCTGTCAAGACAGTTCTGAGCTTATGTGAATGTGTATTATTTAGGGTGGTCATGTACGAAGGCAAAAAAATCATGGCTGATTCTGGAAACATCTATGACAAGACATATGCCGGTGGGCGACTTGGCTTGTATGTCTTCTCTCAAGAGATGGTTTACTTCTCAGACCTTAAATATGAATGTAAAGGTAAGCTCCGACATAAGAGTTCAGCACTTCTTGTTGACTTGTTACCACTTTAGACTGTCTCTAAACATGTCTGTTTGTCATTTCTTTCAGATGCATAACTGCACCCTCAGAACAGAAGAATGTATCAGTGCAGATCATAAAGGGTCCAGATTGATTTCAGTTTTCCTCTGAGAATTGCACATTGGAGGTATGTTGAGCAAGTGAGCTAACATGGGGAAAGGACCTCAGGAGTTAAAGCCAAATGAAAGTTAAAATACAAGCCTGCACCAAAATCAAATTGTGAGTTCAGCTTTGCTAAGAAGAGGTGAGCTCACTCAGTCTGATCTGCATTGAAAAAGGGTCACTTTTTTTCTTATTTTTTTGCTTTGCACACCCGAACTGTTATTCCTCTGTGGACAAGGGACCAAAGGGAAAAGTTTTTTTTTTTTTTTTTGTTAAATAATATTTTTTGAGCATTAACATACATCTGCTGTGGACTCAAAGATGCAGTGCTCAATATGAAGAAAGCAGTTGGAGAACTTTGGGGGGTAAAAAAAAAACATGAAGGAACTGCTGAGGGACCACGGACAGTATGGAATGACCGATACAATTAAAGAGCGTGAATGTTGTGCGTTTCTGCATGTGTAACACCCAACAAGCCTAGTGCTGAAGAAATTTGAAATTTAGTTTGAACTACTCCGATGATACCAAACACCGTTTGTTACAGACATGGTGCTGTCTGCAGAAAAGATGTAGAGCTGGCCCAATACATTTCTCCTCTCAGGAAAGAAAACATAAAAACGCTAGCAGGATTGCAAAAAATGTAACATGGCCTTAGATAAATTATCAGCAAATTATACCTTTTGTGTTTATTGACGATCAGGAGACACAAAGAGTGAGGGCTGGTCAGCTTCTGTAGATTTTTACAAACTTAACATTTTGAGTTTATTCATCTCGTGCATCTTGCTTAAGAGGAACCCATTACAATTATCGTAAGTCAACGTTTTTTCAAATACGTAAAATTGCTTCCAACTGGGAGAAGTATTCTGCTTCTGCAGTGTGCATGAGCAGTGTGCCTGAGTTTGTGTTTTTGACAAAAAGGGAAAAAGGAAACCCTTTATGTACAATTATTACCTCATATGTTTTCGTGTTGAGGCCTGCAACACACAAGAATCACTTGTAGCAACAGAATAAATTTGATGGCTTCTTTTTTTAAAGCAAGACTTTTGTATAATTTGTTATGCTGTATATGAGATATTTTTGTAGTAAACCTAAACAGGAAAGGGTAAATTCAATGTTGTCTTGTTCTGCTATATGTATTTCCCGTGCTCTTTTGATAAATTATTCTGTTTATGGTTTTTGTGTAGATATATGCTATTTAAATAATTTATCTAGAGGTGTGACCTCTTCTGAAAGCGTTTCTATCTGTATAAACCTTTTTGCACACAGACATGAGGATGTCTTTGTTATATTTTGTATTTTGTACGTCTTTTTTTAATTATTAGTGAAGCTTTTCTATAAACATTTGTACCATAGTGCTGTTTATAATCCTGTTTTTTGTTTTGTTTAAATTTTTTTTTATCATGTCAACTGAACAATAAAAGTATAGAAAAGGGATAAGAAGCTTCTTGGTGTCATTTAAGCTAAAAAGCTATGTCATCTCTACTATTTCTCTGTGATTTTTTGAAATGATCAAATCTATCATGGTAATGGTGTTCTCCATAGAAATTCATAAGGAGATGAGCATTGCTGTGCAAGGCAACTTAAATCCTCTTGTTGTGTGATGCTCGTCCTGCAGTTTACAAGCAATTTCAACAAATCATATATCAAATATGAAATGTATCAAATAAATCATATCAAAACGTTCAGCTCTTTCAGGACAACATGACTTTCAGTATTACAGCGTTAGCTTTTGTAATATTTATCCTTTTCTGCCATTTTTTTCTCATAGAAAATGAATTAAGCTCATTTTACACCCTTTAAATCTTTAGATTTGTTTACAACCTTTTTCTGCTTTTTTCACATTTTGTTCTGCATCAGCTTCTTTCAGCTTCCTTGTGCAATTTTAAACATTTTTTTCAGCTGTTTTGTGCTCCTTTCAGATTCTTTCTAACTTTTTGTGCTTCTTTTAATTTATTTATGGTAATTTCAGCTTGTTATGCTCCTTTCAGCTTATTTCTACAAGTTAAATTTTTTTCTGCTATTTCAGCTACTATTTAGCTTTTTATACTAATTTTAGTCTTTTCATTTAATTCTCCATTTTTGCACTCATTTCAAATTCTTTCTGTTTAATTCAGCAAAAACGTGCTCTCTCCGCTTCTTTCTGGTAATTTAAGCTACTTTCTGCTTTTTAGTTGCTTTTCACCTTATTTGCCTATTTTAGCTTTTTTTCCATACAATTTATATTAGTTTTTGCTCATTTCTGCATCTTTCAGCCTAATTGACTTCTTTATGCTAATTTGTTGTGTTCCTTTCAGCTTTTTTTTTCTTTTTTTGCTCTTTCAGCTACTACTTAGCTCTTTTTATGCTGTTTATAGCTTTTCAGGTAATGCCACATTTTTTTTTTAGCTCATTTCAGTTCTTTCCACTTCCTTCTGGTAGTTTAAGCTTCTTTCTGCCTTTTCAGATACTTTTTAGCTTTTTTTTTTCTCATTTCAGCTTTTTTTTTTTTAGCAAATTTTCAAATTTTTGTGCTTAATTAGTTCATTTAAACCTAATTCACCAAATAAGTTATTGTTTCTTTCTTCTGTTAAATTAGATTTGTTCTTCCATTTCAGCATGTTTTTATTTTTAATTTTTTTATAGCTACTGGTAATTTCAGCTGTTTTTCAGCAAGTTCTTCAGCAATAAGCATTTACACAACATTTTCACAGGAAATGCAAGCTGACTATAGTGATGCCTTGGAAAAAGGGAATATTTATGGGAGTTAGACAAAAAACTCAATATAAAATATAACCCACTTAAGCAGCACACAGATGCATGGACATCTTTCGTCTTCACGCAACAGCAGACCTCTTGAGTGGTAGACAGGAGTTTTACATTGCCGAGTGTTAAATCGCCAAACATTTTCAAAACGTGCCTGTTTCCTGTATTTAAACAGATGAGTTACTCAAGTTGTACACCTCGATCCCAGTGGATCATCTGCAAACAGAATTCCAGCAGCTAATTTAAGTCTCACATGGTCAAAAAACAGCTGTTATCTAAATCGCAGACAGAGTTTGCTGCAGGTCTCTTTACATTAGGAGTGACCTCATTCTTACCAGAGTGAGCTCACTGGGTTTCCATTACCCAAACTAAGCAGCATATAGTACCTTCCACTCTGGAAACATATTGTGTGGGTCACATACATGGTATAATAAACAAAAAATGCTGCACATGCTTGAAAAATAAGAGAAAATGTAGCTTCCATCCAGTGCAATCATGCTGTAAAGTGATAGCATATGCTTCCTCAAAGCCAGTTGAGGTGTCTGATGAGATTCCCTGGAAGATAATGCAGCACTGGCATCCTGATGGGATTTAACATGTTGGTCTGGATATGTTTTAAGTAAAAAGGAATGTGAGATAGTCCTTGCCATTTTGACAGGGTCAAAATGTGTGGATGAAACAAGGAGTGTGTGTCCGCAGGTGTCGATTGCCAGGAGAGTGGAAACATGGGGGGCTATGGGTAAAGGTCAGCCAGGTGCAGACTGTGAAAGTAGGAGCACATTGAAGTTGGTGTCAGCTTCCACAATGAACTAAACTGAATGGATCATTCTCAAAGGTATAGGTGGAATTCAGATCTAAATTAAACTGAAGCTCACCTGAGGTTTCATCATGTGACAACAAAGTATAACAGAAATAATATATTTCATGGGCAATGCTTAACTTTAATGACTAACAGTGTTCAAAGTTCACCCAACTGACTTGTTGCCGTCAGTCAAGGTTTATGTGTTCATCAAAACATTCTGCAAACATAACAAACCCTTTATTAGACTTAATAAGATTGATTTTCTTCTCGTCAATTATAGATTAATAGAAAAATTGGCTCTGCTGATCTGTTTTCTCATGCAGTCATGAACAAAACTAAATCAACAAGTTGCAATCCAGCTACATATTACAAACAGAAAGACTGTTTTCATTCATTAAACCTCATTTTAGGCAACAATTTTGTGTTGATAGCACTTTTTTGAAATGATGATGTGATGTGCACTGACAGCAGATGGACAAGTCGGATGTGCTTTAACTGTCCCATGATGTTGCTTCATTCCTCTGATGATCTGAGATCCAGCTCTCTGTCAGCTCACATTCATCCAGCAGGCGAAGCAACTGCTCATCTGTAAGATCTGGTGCTTCTTTCTGCAGGAACAAAAAATAAATGCATAAACAACTGCATGCGTACGCTCAATAAAATGTGCTTTTTTTTTTTTTTTTACTTCAAGATCATTGTCGTTCATTTAGATTTCACAAAAGTGACATCATATGAACCCCCAAATCCTAAAAAAGTGAAGACATGAACATCCTCAGCTCAGGATTTGACGTCTTCCCAACATCCCTTTTAAATTTGCTTCTAACAAATTTGCTGGACTTCGAACTCAGCTTTGGAGAAATGTGGATGATGTGTCGAGTTAAAATGGAACCTGACAGAAGATTGGCACTCCACACTAATTTAATGGCATGCTGCTTCTGTCCCCTGTGCATAGCTGGAAGCTGTGCGGGGAAAAGAAAATACTTCACTTGGTTGCAAGTACTGTTTTTTTAAGAGATAAACCAAGTTCCTCACGTGCTGTCTGCTTTGGACAGCATGTAAGTTCAAGGATGAAAGCCAGCCTTCTTGAACTTGGGAGGTAAAGTCCACGAGTGTTCCTGGGGATCATGTGTTTTCAGGCAGCTGTCATCTTTTAGCTCCAATCGTTTGGCTGTGCAGATCTGTAATTCCTAGAGATGAGGTAAGACTAATTCACCTGCGCATTGAGTCCTCACAGACAGTTACCATCTCCTGGGGTGAAAACTTCTCCTCTACTTAGACAGCTGTGATGCAAAATGTCCATTTTTTCACTAACATCCACTTGGTGCTTGTCATGACGTGGAAGTTGTGCCTGAAGTGTGTCCAGAGGTGCAAAATGCTTTGCTTTTTTTAATTTGAATGACAATCATTACCATCATTATCTCAGTGTGTGTGCTGGTGTTTCTAACTGCCATCCCTCTCTGAACAGAATGTTCTGGGTCATAAAATGACGATACCCTCACTGGGCTATTATATTTCTGTAGTGAACCTGATCTGACCCTTATCTGACCCTTATCTGACCCTGATGACCTCAAATCTACCAGATGGACAGAGACTGTTATTTTCATTGATCTGAATAAGTCTGAGCCATCTGGTGACTTTCTTTCTTGAATTAATCAAGCAGAAAAGACAATCCTCTATAATCATTACTGTTTTACAAATGTTTGATAATCAAATTGTGTTAGTTTCACTTCAATGCTTACAGGTTGAAAAAGAACTACTCATTTTTATTTTACATAAACAGTAAGTAATGATTTTTATTCCTCATTCAAAGAAGAAATCAGATATAATATGCATTTCTTGATTTTCTGTCTGAAATGAGCCAAGTCGTAAGTATGTGAAAGTTGAAGCTTCGGTCAACTAAATGTTTACTGAAAAAGGGATGTCATGTTTTACTATTTGGAAAGATACAACAGAGTGAGGCTCCAAAAAGTCTGCTGTTTCTCCAATAATCTTTTCTGTCTGTAAAACAAATCTCCTTCCCTGACCTCGACTTTTGATAATACCTTACGTCAAACACCACTCCTCTTTCTGGTACATCCACGAATCAGAAAGCTCTAAATTGAACCGGAAGTCGACCCATTTAAAATGTGGCAACTTCCCAGTTCAAGTTAGTTCTCAAGGAGTTCTCAAGGAGTTCTCAAGGAATTCAGAAGAATTTGTTAGAATTCATGGGGAATTCATGGAGAATGGTGAAGTGAATAGAAGAGAATTCGAGAGTTGCAGGAGAGTCAGAGACGTTTGGAATTATAACTTCTGTTTGAACAACCCACGCACGACTATCTAAGGATTTCAGCAGCTCTCAACGGAGACGCTGAAAGGTCTGGAGGATCCCCTATCGAGCTGATCTATCATCACCAGGTAACGGTCTCTTCTTCGACTAAAGTGTACCGGAAGCGAGCTGAGATCTGATGAAGCGTGCACGTTCTGGTCAAACAGATTAAATTCCCTCACATATTCCTCTGTAAGAAAATCTCCATTTCATCTTAAACTCTTCTCTCTCTCACAAAACCAGTACAGATATTTTAGAAATATCTGAAGCAAAGTCCTCAAATCACCGCCGAGTGATTTGAAGTTCATTTTCTGTGAAACTTGTCTGTTATTACTTTCATATTTTGCCAAATTAATGTAAATGTTTGATGTTAAACTTTGATTCTGAAAATAAATGACTCCATTCATTTTGATGGGTCAAAGATAAATAACGTCTCTCGTTACATTTCTGTTGAATTCAATACACGACATTACACAGTCAGAAAGATGAGGAACTCGTGAAAAAGTATGCATATATCTCATATATTTGTCATACTACAACTAGTGACACGTACCTACGTGACTCACTACATTTCTAATCCTTAGGGCATTGATAAGTATTGACATTTGTTTGAACTTCTTTGATCCGCAAAACAAGCTATAATTAAAACATTCATTGAAAGAATGCATATCACCCATCACCTTTCAAACCAGAGTTTAAAACTAAGACGGTAACAAAACAAAAGCTGATGGGGCAGCAAACTTACTTTGAAGAGACATGGAGGGAGAACAGAGCAGGACACCATAGCAGACAATCCATGGACAAATGAGGAGACACAAAGATGCAGAATATAAAGGAACACTAAAGAAAGACAATGAAGAACACCTGGGATGATTGGGATAGGGGACAGGTGTGGCAGGAGTTGGCAACATGAGGGAGAGTAGAAAAATACAAGGATCAAAAGACACAAAACACAGATCCTCACAGTACCCCCCCCCCCCCCCCCCCCCCCCCCCCAGGATAGTCAACTACTACCACACCAAATTTTAGGTCAACATTTGTAAAAATTGATGAATATAGACAATTTGTCGGTTTGTTTTTTAGATTGGTTGTCTGTCGTAGCCATCTTGAATCAAGTGAGTCTAAAGGCCAATCGATTTAAGCGTCATGCTATAGATTGTTTGATTCAAATTTGCTCAGTAATTCCTGAGATATTTTGCTAATGATACAAACACACATACAAACACAGACAACAACATTATCGGTCGACATGTACTAATAATGTGGTTGAAGTCTAAGATAATTTTGCTGAGTTCTAATTAGCAGATTTACAATTATTTTACTGAACACAGATAAGAAAACAACTTGCTTCAAAATAAAGTTGAAAAACACAGATGATCCAAAACCAAGCAACGTCTCCTGAGAAAACATCACACCCATGCAATTATCTTTCTCTCTTCCCCACACCCTGCTGAGTAACTCAAGGCAAAAATCACATTCCTGTGTCTCATCTATCCACTTTAACTGAAACTTTTTGTCTCCATCCATCACCTGTTGACCAGACCACCCTCTGAAACCCTCCAGCTCATCCCCAGAAACCAGTCGCTGATAAATATCTCTGTCATGCAAAAACCATTCTTATCCAGAGCTCCTTCATATGTTAGTCATGTCCTTGTTATGACCCTTAGAAGTGTCCAGTGTTGGATAAAAATATCCTCTATTCATTTGACTTACTCAAATAAGCCATTTTAACCAGTTTTACTCGCAATTTACATGCATGGAGCCCAGTCATGAGAATCTGCCACGAGCAGTGTGCGAGAAATGTTTTTATATGCTTATCAGCTCCCAGCTCCCAGGCAGACACCGATGACCTTCTCCATCCAGTTGCACATGCAAGATCAAATCAGCTCATCATTCAGCCTTCTTTGCGAGAGAAAAGAACTCTCTGGTAACTCAAACACATGGTTCATGGGCAGTTAACATTCTCAGCCATAGTAGTTAAAAAATGTCTATAAACTTTGACCAAAATCCCCTGACACCCAGTTGTTCAGTTTGATGCTATATCAAACATTCGAGCCTGGGTTGTTGTTCTGTGGCATGTGTGGCTGCTAAGACCCCAAAAGTTCATTGAGTATCTCAGTGCACACACATGAATGTCTACAATATAAAATAAGAAACAACATGCAAGTAATCCTGAACAAAAACCCACCGAGATTGTTTTTTTGTTTTTTTTACAGCAAAGAGGCCAACAGAGAACTGAAATTGCTAAGGACAGTTACTTAAATGAAGACTTATTTTTAGATACTTCCATTGTTTTTATGCTAATTTACCGAACATTCCACCATGTTTTTATGACAGCATTAGCTACCTGTTGCTTCTGGCTAATTTTGTGAAGAAAAAATGGAGAGAGAGCATTTCTTCATTTATTTTTTGCTTTGACTTCATGTATGAAGCAGAATGTGGTTCACCAAATTAGGCATTTCCAAACCCAGTGAACCAAACAAAGGGACATATATTTTAGTATGTGTACTATGAAAATTATTAAATACCAAGTACACAAAAGGTTGTTTTTTTTAATCTATAACCTTTAAGTTCAAATTACCAGGTGGTGACATCCATCTGATCTGCTCCAGACACATTATACTTAATTATGTCATTTAGTCACTTTGTCAGACCAAAAAAAAAAAAAAAAAATCTCTATTCCTGACATTTTTAGCAGCGTTCTTGCTATTTTCACTTTGGCTGCTGAACCTTCATTTATCCTCCTTGCAACATTTGAATGTAATCAAAATAATAAAGAAGGGATTCCACATTTTTTAACTGCTAAGCAAATGGCTTAAAGGTGAACTTCCAACCTGCAGTAAGATATCCAGGTTTTCTGTATCAGATTTCCACCAGGAGAAGAACCTAACAAAGACAGAGTTGTTCAGCCCTTCAGCTATCTGCCTTGCAGTGGACCACCACCCCTGCACAGCTCATATTGGCTCTTCTACACACACATACACACATGCATAATGCAGAACCAGTTTTGCCCAAAGTGTGGGCTGCTCCACTTTCAAGGTCTTTCACTTCAGTCACATACCTGAACTTTATCGGCCTCAGAGCCAGAGGGCAACGATCCTCTAATGTGCAGAGGAATGCTATTCATTGCACACCCGCTCAGAGAACTAACAAGACAAGGCCACAATACTTTCTGCTGTAATAAAGTGGTAATAAAACAATAAAATAAATCATGTCATATGTCAGTTCTTGTTTTAAAATGGGTATAACAACCATAAAAGAGTAATTAAAGTCAGTCTGTGGTGCTTTTTGTTCACAATATCCTCATTTCATGCAAAGCACCATCCACATTTACCTCAGTAATAAAAAAAATACAGCGCTTTACATGATCTTAATGTTTTGGGGTATTTCTGACAAAGGTTTCTTTTGACACATATCAGAGCCACATGGTGTTTTTAATCTAAAGACGCTTAATTTTTATTACCCACTCAACATTTTTTATGATTTTTCTTCCTCAACAATAGCTTTCCATTCTCCAGTCTTCAAACCAGCAAGTGTTAGATCACGCCAGCTACAGAGTGAATTCAGGACATTTTATGCTTTATAGAAACAACTTTTTTCTTATATTTGTTTTATTTTTATTTTTTTATTTCTCTGATAGAATATTATAAAAAAGGCTTTATTGAAACCTTGTTTTTTTTTGCCTTAGCTGTCTTGTGTTTTTTTCTTTAAAGGGAGCCTGGAAAGAACGATGACACCGAAAAATGCATAAACTTAAACATTAATGTATTTTTTATATGTAATTTAGGGAAAACAATTCCTTATTATTCTGTGTTTTTGCATTTGTCTCAGATCCATAAACCATTTTTGACCCAAAGCATTAGAATTGAAAATCTGGCTTTGGAAATATTAGAACAAGTATAACTTGCAATAACATCTAAAGTGTCACACAATGCAACAAATCATGATATCATAATTTATGAAGATATACAGTAGCAATATAAAAAGATCAAATAAAAAAAATCTATGAGTGCATGTAAGAAGCATTTTATTAACATGGACAAGTGGAGAGTATTGTATACTTTTTTGGGGTCAAATTATTGTATTTTTTTTTTTTTGGGGGGGGGAACTTTTAATAATTTTATGATGTTATGTGCCTGAGGCACATTATTATTACTATTTTGTCCTTTGGACACATTTTGGGTTTGGGGTTAACTAATTAACCTTTAACTGTTTTAAGATGTGGCGTGTTCTGCCCACCCATACAGCTGGTTCCAGGGAGCTCTCTCTCTCTTTGGGCTCATTTTGTTTTGCCTGCTCTCTGGCCACCCTTGTTTTGTTTTGGCTCTTTTTTTTTCCTGTCGCTCATTCTGTCCGGGATGCATCTCGATGGGGTAGGCCACCACCGCCACTGTCCTCTGCCTAACAAGGTAGTTTTTTGCTAACTTTTGTCTTTTTTTTGTAGTAATTTTAGCCTGGTGTCTTGTTTTCTCTATTTCTTTTTGCTATAGGTGTTTTTGTGTGTATGTGTGTGTGTGTGTGTGTGTGTGTGTGGGGGGGGGGGGTCTAGCTTTAGTCTGGTACTAGCAACGGCTGAGACAGCCCTGTATGGTGTTGGCCCGCTGAGGTATCTTTTTGTTTTGTTTGACCGACTCACCAAGTCCATCTTTCAGTTAAAATTTTGGGGGTTTTGTGTCTTTTTGGTGGACATGGGAATTAGGGATTCTTCATTTTCTTTTTTCCCCCACAGGAAGCTGTTTTTTAATAAATTGAATGTTGAACCTTCATGTTTGAGTCATGTGTCCTCCTTTTAATATGTTGTGTTCATGGTGTACGTAACATATTATCCCGGACGAGCCCCCATTTAATATGTTACGTCCACCTTTAAGTTAATACTTTGGGTTTTTGTGTGTCTTTTTTTGGTGGGCACAGGATTTGGGGGTTCATAACGATCTTTTACTTTTTTTTGCAGGAAGCAGAAGCTTTTAATAAATTGGATGTTTGAACCCTCATGTTTGCGTCACGTGTCCTCCTTTTGATATGTTGTGTTCTTGGTGGACATAACAATAACATCACTCAGTGTTCTGCTCTAAACTGCAATAGTATTGAGTTTTGGGGGCTCATGATATTATTTAGCTGTGAGTTTTAATATTCCTCATAATTGGAGCAACATGACTATCTAGACCATGCTTTTGTGTGTGAGATCAACTAAACAAAACCAAAATGTGCCATACATTCTTGAGCTTGGCAAAATAAAATCTATTCTCACAAAAACTAAGTATTGTGGAAGAACAGCAGGCAAAATTTGAAAACAGTCTAGAGTATCAAATGTCAGTCAACATTTGTCAAGATTAATGGCTAGAGGCTTTAAGCTTAGATGTTGTTCCCACAAATGCCAAAAAACTGTGAAATTTTCCTTTAAAATATAAGAACATATCCAACATCGACTGCTGCACTTTCACAAGAGCAAAAGTAAAAAGTTGATCAAATTTCTGACTGTAAAATCAGTTCTGGTGCTCAAGTTAAAATACAGAGAAAGGTTTTTTTTCTCCCTATTTTGATGCATCCAAATCACAGACTAGAGTGGGCTCATCTCTTCCTGTTTACTTAGACCTAATGACAAAAACAGAGTCTAATGTTGAGAAATCTTTTCTTAAACCGTCTCTGTGTAACAACAAGCATGAAAATAGAGCTGAAAAGCAAACGGAAGGTAAATGCAATGAAAATGAGAAGGTGATGAAAGCTACTAAGAGAAATCTTGTCCATAATTCATATTTTTCTGGCACATTGACCACTATTCCATGGAAAATAAAGAGTTTAGAAACCCCTTAGCTTGCAGAATGCACTTCAGTGCTAAGCTCGATGTATTCAGGTCAGCTGGAAGGTGCCATGGTGACTATTCACTTCTGCCTGCAGAGGACTGCATGTCTTTGCACGAGTTCTATTTGCACGTTTACAAATATTTTATAAAAAGTATGTGCTGCTGGGCTAAATGCAGAAGGAAATGTGCACTGATTAATATAAAAGGGAATGAAGCTGATGGTACCTACAGATTAGAACAAGCCTGCTCTGCTGGAACACCCCTGTTTTACAGTAAAACGCAGGGATGGTCCATCCTTTCACAGTTGATACAGGAATGCAGCCAAATGAGGTCGCAGGAGAAATAGCAGCAGATGAAAGCAGCTGTCAACCATAAATGTTTTACACGCATCTTATCTTCTCCTACTGGAAGTGGCCAAGTCTTCGCTGATCAGAAAGGATATGAGAACAATGAAAAATCAGAGTGATTTGTTTTTCTGGCTCTGATGTGAATTTCATTGGAAATTGTATTATTCAGATAGAAAAACACAAAAAGAAGAGTTGACGCACACGTTTCCACAGTACGTGAATCCACGTCAGCCCTGTTTTTGTGTGGGTTAATTCAGACAAAACAAATAGCAGCTCTCCAAGGCGATGTTTAAATTATTCCCATGACTCACTTTAATTTGAGAAAAACAATTTGTACTCTCAGCTGAGACCATTGGGAGCTATACACAACAAAACAGAGAGCAAAAAAACGTATTTTTCAACGTTTACTGACAATTAAAATGTGTTAAACTAATTAATAAAAATATATTCACGGAACTGTAAGTAGAAATATAAAATTGTAAACTTCAATTAAAGGCCTAACATTCCTTGAATGAGTGAATATCACCTGCTGCCTTTCATGACAGGATTTTAACTAGTTTTGGCTCAATATCTGTAAAATTGACTGAATTATAGCCTTTTCTGTGCTTCCTAGAGTCAATTATTATAACTGTAATGCTCGGAGACTTGAAAATAAAATGTTCAAACTTGTTATCATCGTGTTATAATTGAACAGATGTAAACACTCTGTAGAACAGGTACATCCTTTAGGCGTAAGTAGTTAGAAAGTGAGAAAGTGAGAGTGCTTGACTTATGAAAGTTATACAAATCAACTTTATGAGTCCACTGCAGCTGTGTGAGACTGGCTAAGAATGCCCTCCCAGACAAATCCTGTGCCAGTAAATCTTTTCAAACCACAAAACAAGCCCGCTGGCCCTGAGATTATATAGTGTGAGTGTGCTGCTCAGGCTCAAGTCAGTCACTGTGTTCAGACATTTACTGATAACCCATAAAACCAAGTGACTCAACTAAATGCAAAGACGGATTTTCCAGCAGCAGCAGCCGAAAGACCGGTGGGTTTAAATGCTGTCATAATCATGAACAAGCATTTTCTTAAAAATAGACATGTCTTTTGAAGTGAGGGTGTGGCCACCACTTATATTTGTAATTACCACACTGTTTGTGATCTACTTTAAGGTTTAAATTAGCCATAAATGCATCATTTTGTGGTTCAATTTGCACTCACATGAGAGCAGATTGTTGCACAACACCATGACGTGCCATCTAGTAAAAAGACAAATACATTCAGTGTTTCTCCGTCTTTGAGCATAAAATTTAAAGTCCTAAATGTCAGAGAAAGCAGAAATCAGGTTTAGTATCCGTCTTTGTTCGTGGAACATTCTTGTTCTGTGTCTTTAGCTACAGAGTTTGGGGAAAGAACTTCTGGTTGTAACTCTGCAGACCCCCTTAAAACCAGACAGGGGGTTTAATGCTCCTAAGGAACACTGCAGTGAGGACACTTAAAAAGGCAACAGAACACAATGGAAGGTGTGAACCCATCAGTAGAGAACGTTATCCTCATGTAAACTCTGGACTAAAGTAAGAAGGGAAAACCATCTGAGCCTGAAGAAAAAGAAATATTACATGTGAAAGTGTACTACCGGTAATTTGTCACACTACAGATCCAAGGTGTTAAAATGCACTTTCATTATTCAGATGTAAGTCTTAGTTTGAATATAAGCATATGCTTTTTTACCATGTGACTTTAAACTTACAGTCATCTCCTGGCTGAGGCCCAGAAGCTCCAGCTGCTGCTGGATTTCCCGGAGCCGCCGCTCCTGCTCTCTCCTCTCCTTTATATCCTGCAGGACCTTCTCTCCTGGCTGCCGGTCCCTATCGCACTTCCAGACAATCTCGGAGCCGAGGACCTGATGCACAACAGACATGACGGGTTCTCACAAGGAAGGAACACCTCATCTCACATGGGTGCACTCAACCGAGCAACACTCAGTTTATATGGTTGGCACTTGGAAGCATTAAAAATAAGGAAATAAAACCACCACAATTAATTCATGCAAAATGTTCTTTTCACTAAAACGCCTGTTTAGATTAGTATAAACCAAAGGCTCTTTACTGCTTATTGGAGAAAGCTTAGAGTAGAACCACATTCTTGTTAGAAGAACTAAGCTTATCTAATGTCCTTTTGGAGTGCAAAATAAATCACATCTTTGTGGCGTTAAGAGGAACTAGGTTAACCACATGCAGCATCCAAAGCAAATGTTGAAAATGGGTCAGGAGGAATAAAAAGTGAAAAGCTTGACTTAATCACCACAGGATGGATCTTTTTTCTTTATGCCTTAAGTACAAAGTCAAACAAGAACCTGTCGCAAGGCCAATAAAAGTTGGCAGAATAGATAAAACTGTTCTAAGTAAAACGGAAATTAAAATTTTCCGATGTCTGGCAGACTTTAAGCACCTGTCTTCTAATCGTGACCACTGCCATTAACTGGGACTCTCAGCTGCTATAAGAGTTCATTTAAATTACAGCTGAGCAAGAATGTAGGTGTATGACCCCGCTGCATCGTCTGCTACTGCAATGGTAACGCTGCATGCCACCGCAGTGCCCTCTACTTCATCTTGCCTCCTTGGGTGAAAGTGTCCATGGCTGTTCTGTTAGATATTTTTGTTTGTTTTAGCTGTTCCCAGGGTATTATTTCCTGCCGAGTTTTGGTGTGTTGATCTTTGTGTTTCATTTTCTTTGTGCCCTCCATCCTGTCTTTCCCTCTCCTCCCACCTGAGTCAGGTGTATTTTGTTTTGGAACGTAATGGCCCGTCCTTTGAAGGGAGGGTACTGTCATAATTTGCGTTATTTCTTTTGGTTATTTAGTTAGTTTATCTTTTAGTTTTATTTCTCCTTGCAATTATTGTTTTATTCTTGTGTCCTTTGTGTTTTGGTTCAGCTCCCTTTGTTTCCTTGCCAGTTTTCATTTTTACCCTCAGTCAGCCTCCTCAGTTGTTCAGTCAGTTACCACTTACACCCATTTGCAATTAGTAATCACCCAGGTGCCATCACTTTCCGCTCACCCCCCGTCCTATTTAAATCATCCCTGATCTCCACTTCAACAGTAGTTTATTATCCTCGCTACAACCTGATGTCTCGGTCTCTCTTGTGCGCCTATTGTAAGTTTTGCTGCCACGCCAGCCTTTTGTTTTGTTTAATAAATAAATTAGTTTTTGGTTTTTTTTAACTTGTGCTCCTTGTGTCTGCCTGCATCTGGGTCAAATCCCTTCATTGATTGTGATAATGTTAAACCATATTTTATAAGTACTTTTAAAAACATCATATTATAAGAAGCCAGTTTGGACATTTGGTAAGGATGCTCACTGGACGTCTCACTAGAGTGGATTTCAGGGCATGTCTAACTGGAAGGGCACACTGGGGAAGATTCAGGACATGTTGGAGAGACTATGTCTCTTGAATGGCCTAGGAATGTCTTGGAATTGGCCCATAAGAGCTGGAAGAGATGAGTGTGGAAAGATATGTCTTGACCTCCCTGCTCAAGCTGCTGCCCCAATGACCTGACTTTGTAACAAGAGGAAGAAAATGGATGGATGGATGGATGGATGGATGGATGGATGGATGGATGGATGGATGGATGGATGGATGGATGGATGGATGGATGGATGGATGGATGGATGGATGGATGGATGGATGGATGGATGGATGGATGGATGGTCATATTTTGACACAGAATTCTGGTAAAATAAACTTCATACAAATAACCCCAAAAAACGTTGGTTCTGAGGATGTTGCCACAGACTGTTTTGGAGTGTCAATCAGCACCATATGGTTGAAACCTCCACCTCTCTCAGTTTGTCTGGATGGCAGGCAGTGATTTAATAACAGTTAAATTGATGGATATTTCATAAAATGTTGATATCTCAATAAGGACTTACTTATGACAAAATGGTATAGGTTATTAAAGATGCTGGGATTGAGTAGACAGTATACAAGGAAGTGCAGAGTTTCTAAATCAACTATGATATATTTATGTTACAATGTTAAATCCAAAAAAGAATGGAAGTTTAGTAAAATTCTTAAAGATGGCTGAGCATCTTATTAAACAAAACAGACAGCTTGAATCATCGGATATACATTGGATTTGCCCATAAACGTAGGCAACTACAAGACGTAGCTTGTTCAAATTTTGGCAAAAACAAAAATCTCCAAAGTACCTTTCTGTGTGTGGCCTCACCTAATGGTTGTCTCTGTCTGCCAGCATGGAAATAATGACAACTTCTATCTGAGACCTCTCTTAAGTGGTCGACACGAGACCCTTTTGGTCACGACTCACTCATCCTGAACAGCAAATGCCACGACCACGAGATCTGACTTCTGTCACGCACCATAGTGAGAAGCACTGCTTCCCAGCTCGGAAAAATAAAAATTAAAGTCTAGCTTTACCGCCATCCTCACACCACTAAATGCACGTTGCTAAAAATGCTCAGATCTTTGAAAAAGACCGTTTATTTCATTTGGAAACAACAGCTACCCTACTTTTCATGAACTATAGGCTGTTAACCTAAAACATGTCTGCAAGGTTTAACAACAATAAAGCCACTGACCAGTCTGAATGACTATATGTTTTTGTCCAATTTAACACTTTATAAATCCTGATGAGTTCTACGGAGAAAACCCCAAGTCCTTTTATGAAAATCCCACTAATCTAATTATAGCTAAAAACAATCAGCTTTTAATCTCTACTTATTATTTCCTGATATAATAGGCAAGCAATAATGTATCTTTTGTGCATTCATGTGTGTGTTTGTCTGTTAGCAAAATATCTCATGAACCACTGGATGGATCTTTTATGAAATTCTCTGAGTAATCAGTTTATTTACATCCACAGCTAATTAAATTGTGGAGTCAACACAATTAAGATGACTGAATGGCTCTTGCAAATACAAAAATTGCTATACTTCAGCCAGTTTTGCAGATATTGAGCTCAAATTTGGGGTGGCCATAGCTAAGAGTGATCTCCAACACATATGTGCAACATCTTTGTTTATAATTTTGGCATGATCCAGTATGCCTTGTATGTTAAGTAGAAAATGCTACCTTTTTATATTTGTGTTGGTCTTTAACATCTTTTCACAGTTACAGCTTTAAAGGGGGTTTTGTGCAGCAAAATAAAACATAGTTTCTTTAACTTTGTCTTTCTGTATTTTAGATTTATAAGGAATAATTATGAAAAAAGGTTCAACAAACTAAATTTCCAATGTTTGAGTTTGAGTTACTGGTATTTTTTTTTTTTTTTTTTTTAGTACTTCCTTGTCCATATGCAGCAGACATGCAGAAAGATATGGCAAAATCGAATTTTAATTATAAAATCTCCAATGTGCATGAATTAACAAGTATTTTTTAAAGGCATCCAATCATTTTTTTAACGTAACATTTGCAATTAAATTGAAGTTTTTGTGTCTTAAAGCTAAGACATCCATTAGGGATTTTTTTTTTTTTTATCTTGCAAAAGTTGAATGACATGTCAGCAGCAAATCTGGGTGGCACAAATTTTGCTCCATTTTTGGATTTTCACATTGATAAAACAATTTTTTGAAACACCGATGTATGAGCAGAAAGATAAACAGTGATCCCAAAGAAACATTTACACCATCTTCATATTGATGAACTGTCATGTCAGTGTGTACATCCAAAATTCTCACAGCAAAGAACAACGGTATATACTTTTTTGAATTCACAAATAAGGAATTCAAACTATCACTGCAAAATATACATGCATAGTAAAATTACTGTGCGTAATCACTGCAGATGACATTTTTTAATCATGGGGAAAGTGGTAAAATATAAATGCTGCATGCAAAGTTTATCCAACAGTCAAAATAAAAAAAAACTTTGTTTAAATAAAAAACTGTAAATGTCATGCAAGTTTTAACTGGATGAAAGGGCTCTATCAAAACAAAATGCTTATAACTGTGTGAGTACACATATATGCATACATGTGAGTTAAAATCAAATTAAAAACTGGTTTGGATACAATTCCAAGGACCTGGCATCGTTACACAGTAAATCCCTTTTTGTTCTTTTGCTAGTCCAACTGATTCATCTCTTGGAGCAGACAGAGGGAATGATGTTACTCGACCTTAACGGACTCCAACAACACTTCTGTATTTGTGCTTTTCCTGGAATGTGTGATAGCTTCGGCTCAGTGCGAGGCTACTTTCAAACAGAGCATGGGGGAGAGAAGCTGAGGCTCGACTTATCTGAACATCGGAAAAATCTTCTAATTGGCTCTCTTTAAAATAGTCACTTGTCATGCTATTCAAAAAATCTTCAATGACTCAATCACATTAAGTATCTGGGTCAAAGGATCACCAGGAGGCCAAGCAGACCAGAATTTTGTTTTTGTTTATAAAAAATTAAAACAAAATCATGTGAAAGATTCATCCGCCTTTGTGAATACAAGTATGCCAGTCACGTGATGGAATATCAAAATAATGTATTCAAAGTAGTACAAATTTTACGTATCAGTATATCGGCTGATATCAGCTTTGCTAAGCAGATGTATTTTTCCCTGATAATTAAACTAACCGATGCCTGCAAGTTGTAGGAGCCTCCATAGCAACAGGTAACTGTTTCTGTAGTAATGAAGAAAAATCAGCTAACAAGAACAGAGGAGGTCATGTTGAGGTCTGGAAAACAAAGCAAACAAAAATACATTTTTGAAACTATACTCACAGGCATCTCAGAAGCAAGTACTAAGGTGGTGATTCTCATACTACATATAAAGGTGTGTATTATAGTAAAATACAACAGGAAAATAACTGGTGTAATCATTTTTTTATTTTAAAAGAAATCAGTCTATTTAAAGGGTGAAAAGTAGTCACTGTGCTGTTTGGTATCATGATG